GTTTATGAATTGATTTTGATGAAAAGAGAAACATTAAAAATATGCAGAGCTTTATATACCTGATCCCCAGCAAAAATAAGCCATGCATGATTTCTGGAAGGTATGACAGAAGAAGTCCTAAGAAATCTGGATATGCCAATGAGTAGTTGAAGCAAGGAATGAGCTGCAACAGCAGCAGAAACCCCAACAAGATACCTGTTCATCACAATTTCACAGCAATCACAATAAATGTCTTTATAAAAAAGGCTGTGCATATTCAATATCATGTTCAAGTTGTGCACCAGTATGTCACAAACTCAGAAATAGGAAACCAAGATCATACCATCATGACAAAGGGACAAACAAACAAACACAGAAAAAAAAATGCAAAAGAAAGAGTAAAACATAGAAAAAAAAAAGAGAAATTGGATCACGGGTCTATTACTGTTCATTCAAATGTCATGAATTATGATACAATCAAACCCCACCAAGGTCCCACTTTTTGCAGTCAATTTTGTCCGAAAGCCACAGCTTCAATTGCTGGCAATAAAATAATACTAATACCAACCAATGAAATAAATTTTGAAAAGCAAACTCTCAACAACTCTTGCATTGCATGGTTACCAAGAAATAGTTTGAAAATGAAGCAACAGTTTTTTATATGAATTTGATACATTCATTAATGGAATCTTTAGTTTCAACCAAACATGCCAAAATCCTAATCTCCTTCAACTTCTATAGTTAGTTCAGAAACACACTTTGCATTGATATTTTTTTAGGAAAAAAAAAACATCAAAGTAATTCCCAGAAACAAAAAACAAAAACCTGTTTTTCATGAACAAAACAACACATCAATTTAACATATCAAGAAAAGTAAAAAGAAAGAAGCATACACAGTAACAAAACAAAAACAATATTTGAATTAACAAAACAGAATACAAAGAGTTGAATATATAGAGAGATATCACGAAGCATTGAGAGAGAGAGAAAAAAAAATGGAAGAAGCTCACTCGTATGACTCAGAGAAAGACCATTTGGAGTGAAGAGGTAATTGAAAGCCATAAATACTGACAGAACTAGATTCCTTAGCAGTGACCATGAGTGAGATTGAAACAACAGAGGAGGCCATGCACAACCCTCTTAGAACCAGTTGCATAGCCTCCACCCTCCGGCGCCGGCGGATCCTGGTGGCGGCTCCGACAAGGGGTCCACTCATTGTGCCACTGGTCTCCAAAGCAGCCACCTTGGACTCCTGCAGGGTCTCCTCTGCTATTCTTTGCTCACTCACCATATTTCACCTTTTTGCTCTGTTTTCCCCTGATGTCCTCTGTTTTTGTCTTCTTCCAAAAAAAAGAGGAAATGGTGGCTTTTAACACAGACCCTGATCAATAATTGTATTTGTGCAGTGATTAGATAGGTGGTGGCAGTGTGAATGAATGAGCTTTGGATGTGCAGGTAAGTTTAAATGGATGCAGAAAACAGAGGTTCATGAAGAGAGAGAATGGGCAAATTTTGTGTGTCGTTGCAATGGGTTTTTCATATGATTTCTACTAATATATTGTACTTAATAGTTAATATAATATGCCTTTCTTTTGTTTTATTTTTTATTCACGGTCCTCTTTTGTTTGAAATAAGCATGAAAAATAATTTTTTTTTTGCTTAGATTGAAGAATGAAATTGTTTTAAAAGATAACTCGTTATTAAAAAAAAAAGAGAATAAGTATATTGTTGTTCATATATATATATAAGTTTTTTTTGCTTGAAATAAGCATGAAAAATATTTTTTTTTTTGCTTTAATATATTATATTAGTATTTTACTTGTTAAAAGAATATTGTATAAGTTATAAAACATTTAAAATACTTTAAAATAAATAAAAAATATTCAGATATTTATAATTTATTTTTATTTTATAATTTTGAGTCTTTACCTTATTTAAAAACAGTTTTAGAGCTATTTTTTTCGTGGGAGTCTGTTTTGAAGAGATGAACTGTAGATGATGTTTTTAAATTTATAATCATTTCATTGAACTAGATCTTTTATTCTAAAATTATGTATTATTTTTAATTTATTATTTTCAACTTTATATATTCATGTGAAGAAGAGTAAGATTGGAATTTAAAATAAACATGTTTTTATTTTACACTACATTTTGCTATGGTTCAGATAATATGCATTTTTTTTATCTTCGATTATTTATAGTTTTTTAAACGTTGAATTTGATTTTTATGCAAGTGCCAAAAAAAGTTAAAACATGGGTTATCATAAATGGAGTATTTTAAATTTAAATAAAATGAATTATTTACATGCTAATTTGAAAAGGTGTGGATGAGACTTGTATCTCTTTATTTAATGGTGCGTTTTAGTATAATATTTGAAGTCTCAAATCTATGTTTTATGATAGAAAAATGGAAGTTAATTAAAGTAGTTTCAATTTGAAAGAGAATTATAAAACCATGACTTTGGTATAATGTTACATGTATTGAGATGAAATTGTTGATCATTGCACAAAATCCATTCCAGAACATTACCTATAAAAGAACTTACAATTTTATAGCACTTGGTAACACCAGAAGAAATCTAAAACAAACATTCTTAGATTCTTCAGCTTATGTTTTCTAGATAAGGCAGATTATCGATCATGTGTTTTCAAAGGTTGTATTTTTGGTCATCACTGCAACAAAACAAAGGACCCAAAATGGCCTAAACAAAGCCCAGATCTCAATGAAACACCTTATCAGAACTACTTGTAAAATCTATCAGAAAAATGACAGATTTTTGTGGATTTTGGGTTGTTTTTTTCTGTGAAGTCACTTTAGTATATTGCATATTGATGGAGTTGGTTCCATTTTACATGAAAGGAAACATGAATTTGGTGTTGCATTCAGAACAATGTTGTATACTTGTCTGAACCCTGGTTTTATTAGCAACTAGTAGCAGTTTTTGCATCTGACATCAGTAGCATGAGAAGGAAAAAAAGGGAGCAAATTTAGTACTAGGATGTAATGCAATAAAGCTTAAATCAAAAGGGTGCAGAAAGTGGCTCTTTGAATGAGTTTTCAGTGGCACAGGAGCATTGACAATGACAAGCTTTGCTGTGATCAGTAATGGACTCAGCTTTCTTCATGCAATCAGCAAGCTTCTCAGTTAGGTTTTCGTTTTCATCCATTTGCATCACTTTCTGTATTGGATGCATCAGCCCCTTCATTAACAAACAATATATATAATAACCATTTATTAGAGAAAACCCTTTAAATTGTAATTTCATGTTATTAACTAAAATTTATAGTTTATGTTTTTGTACATCTCTTTTACACCCACACATAATAGTTAATAATTTAAACAATGTAAAAAAAATTAAATTGAACATAAATTACAAAATTATGATAGTACGAACTCTAAATAAATTTACATTCGACAAAAATAAAAAACAAAGTCATTTTAAGGCAAAAGAAAAAAAAACCTCAAATATAACATCTAAGTCCTTGTGTTACCCTATAAACATGAGATTCTTAAGATGAATAATGATAGATATCATGACACACTTTTACATTCATTTGACACAGAATACAAGGGTAAAATGGTCATAAAAGTATAAAATTTTGTATTTTTTTAAGAAAGAAGAGAGTAAAAAGTAAGTGTAGTATAAAATGAATGAAAAAAATTTAGGTGTGTCAAAGAATATTTTTCTTTTAAGATTTTATTTTATTCTGAATAAGATAGCCTAATATAGGGTAACTGTTAAGCATTAAATTATTTGTTTTCGAAATGTAAAACTTGTTAATCAATTTGATGGAAGATTATTTAGTGAAGTGGTAATAAATGATTTTTTCAGAAAAATAAATATATTTAATGTTTTTCATTCAACAGGGCAACAACTTTATTTGTATTTATTAATGATGTGAAGAACAGATGAACAGTTAATGTTCATCTTTTAATTAGAAATGTGTGTGTATTGATTGAATGGATGAACATTAATTGGGAGGTTATACAATCTCATACACCTCAATAATTTTATACTTACAATGAAATTTCAGAATAAAAAGCAGAAGAAAATAGAATATACACATGCTTATGATCCTAGGTTAGGAAATCATACCTCAATGAATAGAGCTGATGCTTCACATGGTTCCAACTTCTGAACTACCTCTGCAGCTACTTCCTGCAAAAATCAGAAACCATTCATAGAGTATGTATTTGTATTTGTATATGTGTATATGTATACGTGTATATATGTACCCTAGCTTGGGTGAGCTGCAGTTGATTGAGTGTTCTGGGCTCCAGCTCAATGGGGCACAAGGTGTTTGCCATAAGTCCTGAATGAAGAAAGGGTGATGCAAGATGTGATCTCCACTGTGAAAAATTTGATGAGTGGCAATTGCAATTGCATTCCGTCAGCTGTTTTAACTTAGGCTGTTCATTGGTTGACCAATATATAACCAATGAGAAGCATGATATTTTTCAACACATTCACGGGGTCTTTGTGTCATGTGAAGGAGTTTGTGGCCAATATTGAGGAGAACATTTTCCAAATCCCGTGGTTCAGTTGAGAACAAAGTTACACCTTCTTTACTTGTGACTGCAATGCTCTTATCAATCATTTTATCAGTCAAGTTCTCTGTTTACAGAGTCTAATGGTTGCCAAAAAGAAGCAGAGGGAAGATGGTTCACATGCACATTTCACTTTTGATCCTCACTTTTCTAGAGATTTGGTGATTTATAGGTTTTTTTTTTCTGCCAGGTAGGTCACTTTCTCTGTTCATTACATATTAAGGGCATTTCAAGAAACAAAAATGTACTTACAAGCTGCAAATTCCATTTGATTAGACTACTGTCCAAGTCTCGTTAGACTTAATGAATCTTCCATCACACATAGTAAAAAGAGATGAACTGTTACAATAATTTATAACAATGAAAAAATGCAATTTTGGTTAAAATTTTAAGAACTATAATTATGATTAATTTTTTTTATAGGAGAGATTGAGATTTAGTTGCATGTTCTAGGTTTGATGACTTGACTGTGAAGAATGTGAAAGAGTCAAACTTATGTTAAATAGTTAACCATGGCCCAAAAGAGAGGTGTAGGATGATTTTGATCACAAATATTTGGGCCAAATCGTGATTGTGGGATTAAGATTATGATTTGAAGCTATATTTGGACTGAGAAAAATATAATATCTGATTTAGATGACAACCAAGGTGGCTGGTAAAAAATAATGATGTTCATATTTTCATGTGAAAATGTATGAAACAAAATATAAAATAGGTGATAGGTATGAGTGGTTGAAGATTAAGATCTATTTATGATATATACTTCAAAATTTAAGTATAAGGCTAAATTTTACATTAACTACAAATAAAAAGACATCATATAAAAAGAATAATTTATAAATTTATTATTTTAATAAACCCTACATATACTGCATAGACGAAAAGTGTTATTATATAGTTTTGCGATATATGGCAGTGATCACGCATATGTGTATGTTTGATTTGTGTGAAGTTGATATTATAATAAAGTTTGCCAGTTAGAAAAGTCACACAAACCTAATTGTATATATTTGAAGGGATAGAAAATCGTAGGCATGCACGTGAAGGGAAGGTTTAATTTTCTCTCTCTTTGTTTTGACCTACTCATGCTTCATATTATAATGCCACTCCTCTTTGATCAAACAGTGTAAAAAAATACCATATCATTTAAGTTTTTTCTTTTTTTCTTTTGGTTTAATGTTTCGATAGGTCTTTTTTTTCGTTCAGAATCTCACATAAGTTCCGTATTTATTCGGTATCTCAATTGGGTCCTTATTTTTTTAAAAATTGAAACAAATAGAGATTTGTCGTCAAATTGGACAAACACTGTTTAGGAGACCCTGATGTGACATGTTGACAGTATACTTTTAATTGACGTGGCAGTAAAGGCCTGGTGGTCGATCGGCCTTGTGGTGCCTGAACGAAGGTCAATGTTTGTGCTTTATTGAATTTGTTTTTATACAGCTTGTCTTCGTTTCTGAATACCGTACGGTCTCTTGGCACCACCAGGCCGACCACCCAATAGGTTGACCGACCACCAGACCGTATGGCCGATAACCAGGCCGACCACCCACCAGGTCGACCACCAGATTTTTATTGCAACTTCAATTAAAAGTATACTGTCAGCATGTCACATCATAGGTTGACTGACCACCAAACCGTATGGCTGACCATCGGGCCGACAATCAGGCCGACCACCCACCAGATCGACCACTAGGTTTTTACTGCCACTTCAATTAAAAGTATACTGTCAGCATGTCACATCAGGGCCTCCGAAACAACGCTTGTCCAATTTGATAACAAGCCTATATTTGTTTCAATTTTACAAAAATAGGGACTCAATTGAGACACCGAATAAGTACATGACCTATTTAAGATTCTGAACGAAAAAAGGACCTACCCAAACATTAAACCTTTCTTTTCTACTATGGAAAGTTCTGCTCTAATTTAATTATATATCATTTTAAAATTACTCAAATAAAGTAAATATCAGTTTGAAAATAGTTGTAT